AAAGATCTCTTTTTCATAAAAGAAGGCCTACACTGATAAAACAAGTAATTAAGTAACTTCTCAGTCAATAAAGAAATTCCATTTTAAGAGTTTGTGATCTCTGCTGTTGTGCTTTTGTGGTAGTAGAACATTTAAGGCATCTCAATCTAATCCCTCCACACCTTCCTGCAAGCTGGAATCATGGGGGATGCCGGGATCCAGCGTGGCTTTCCCAGAAAGCTGCTTTGGCCAGAGCAGCTCAACTCTGACACAGGAAAGTTAAAACGCTCAAAGCTGGTGACAGGGAAATTGCAGGGGACAGCACAACTCTGTTTACAGCACTTGGAGACTGAGAAACAGGAGACTGAGTTTTAACTGTGAGGTCCAGGACTTTTCATCTTTTGTGATCGTGGAGTATATTTAGCTCTGGTATGCAGTTTGCTCCCATCCGTGGGGAACAAGTTCTTCATAAAAGTCGTATTTAGAAGTGACCCGGTGTCCTTGCTACCAAATTATCAGCACAACAACTGTCTGGTTCCCTGGCTGGTGCCCTCAGAGCTGGGGCAGGATGCCCAGGGCTGCATTCATCATTGGAATTACTGGGCATGTGCTTCATACTATGAGTTGGGGCCCATATGCCAACAGCTGCTCGAAGGAAACATGAGATCAAGCACAGGCTGGGCTGCTCTGGAAATTCAGACGTGTGCATCAATCTGCCACATTGGGACTCTGTGGCAACACAGAGACACAGGTGAATTTTGGATCTGCCACTCCCCAGCTCCTGCACCAATTGGAAAGAACTCAGGTCTCTGCTGCTGAGGAGGCTGCTCTTGTGCTGGGGAGGATGAAAAGGAAATCCACTAGCAGCAATGGAATCACACACAGAGGATGGCACAACTCAAGCCACGTGCTGTAAGACAAAGCTAGAGCCAGCTCAGGCTCTCCATCACACAAGCCTGTGCCCTGACTGCCCAGGAATGGCTCAGATCCTTCAGGTCTGAGCTTGGCACATCATTCACACAGCCACTATACCAGACTGTGCTTTTGCATTGTTTTACAGGCAGGACATGAGCAAATTGTGCCCCAAACCCAAAAAACAGGCACACCAAACCCTTGGGTCTGACAACAGCATTTGCCATCTTGAAATAGATGTTCAAGAAAATTCTCAAAGCAGTCTGATCTGCTTATAAACCTGTCTACGCTAAAAAACACAATATAAAATAATTTTAAAAAGGGATTTCTTTCCGACTGGCAAGCATTTGGTCTGAACAGCAGTCACCATGCACGAGAACCAGCAGCTGAAGCCGCTTGGAAAATGGATTTGGACATTTCTTAGGAAATGTCCCCTTTTCCCCCCAAGCTTTCATGGTCCTGGCACAGGATAACACCAGGTGCCGGGTGCTCCATCCACATGAGCCTGGCAGAGTGGGATGGGATCCTGCAGCCTCCAGCTCTGGGTAAGTGGGCAGTGGGAAGCTGGAGCAGGGGGATGCCAGCTGACAGAGGCTGGGCACAGCACGTGCCCCTTTATAAGCATCACCACAGAAAAGATGAAAGTTTGTTGCCTTTTATTTTTAACCCAACAGAGAAATTTTAAGGATAAAACAGCTTCGAGGGAGGCTGGGCTGACACAAAGAGGGACTTTCTTCACCTCCTAACTGCAGCAGCATCAACACATGAAATTTTAAACTCAAGGAGATTTAACTCTTTCTGACGTTGCCGGAGACCAAATGTGGGCCAGAGGCAAGGGGTCACCAAAACAAGTAACTACACATGGATGGGGTCTCTGGAGCAATGACATCCAATGTGCAGCTATGGAAAGAGCTGGATCCTGCCACAAGAGACAGCTTTATGTTTGCAAGAGCTCAGTCACTTACTCAGTCACTGGTAGATCTCCCACACAGATAGCTCCTTCGCTGAGGCACAGCCACAGGAATGCATCTGCCATATGCTGCCCGTGTCCAGAGCAGCAAGCACAGAGGAGGACCAGGGGATCCATTCCCTGCACAGACTCAAACCTGCCTCCTGCTCCAGAGCAGGGAACCACGAGGTGAGCCCAAGCAGCCCTGCCACATCACCTGATCACATGAAGCATGGCAGCTGCAGGGACACCCTGGCACTGCCAGGTGCCTCCAAGCAAAACACAGTCTGCAAGCTCCAGGCTGAGCCCCAGGCCCAATGCTGCTTCCCTAAACTCAGCAGCTGGATCTCCAAGTCATCCTGACACACACACATCCTTTGCCTTGCTTTACTGTTAAGATCTCTGGCTACAAGAAGCTAGAAACTTCTTTTCCAAACAGGATTTACTACTGTCTCCATGCTGTCTGCTGTGCAAGTGCCTCCCCTGCCAGGACAGCAGGAGGAAGGAGAGAGGCTCCTCGTGGTTTCTCTTTCTGTTCCGCATAGCCCTGGTAATATTTACAGCTGCATTGAGGTGTCTGGGGCCGGAAGAGGGAAGCCTTCAGTTTATAAATAATCTTCTCTGGTGTTTGGGTAATTTTCATAGTTTCCATTCATTTCAGGTTTCACCAAAACCTGCGTGTTGTGGCTTGATAGCTGGGACATGACTGGCTGCTTGCTCTTCCTGCACTGCCCGGGAGTTAACGGCTGCTCATTCATTCCTGCCCAGCTCGCTCACAGCACCCTGTGCCCCGTGACAAGCATCTTTTGGAAACCACAACACCAACCCCTGGGCACAAACACTTTGCAGAGACAGCAACTGCAGGAGGGAGAGCCAGGCAACACCTCACAGCAGGGGCAAAGCAGCTGAGCCACGGAGCCTCCTTTGGGGAAGGCCAGGATCCACGTGGGGTGGTGCAAACAGACAACAGCAGCTCAGGGACAGACTGTGATAAACTCCTCATCTACCCTCATCAACCCTGAGGGTTAATTATTCATTATTTTTTGTTGTTGTTTATAATTATTTTTATCATTTATAATTAGTAAGTATAATTTTTATATTATTATTTTATTAATACCCTGTGGTCCCACTGAGGGCCAAGGAAATCGTGGGTTCAAGGGAATGCAAGAGTGGAGCTTGGTAAGCTCTTAATTTTGTTGGTCTACTGAGGAGACAAAGAAGGAACTGGCAGCCAAGCTCTGCTGCTCAAATGAGTACCTCAGGCTTTGCTCAGAAGCCACAGAGCCGCCCCAGGTGTGGTGCTCAGGTAAAGGTGGTGCTCAGGTAAACACATTCTGCAAAACCCATATTTCCAGTGATTCTGCTGCAGCAAGGACTGAATTCAATGAAATTCCTGTTTACTGATGCTTGCAAATGATGATATATAATCCCCTGCCTCCAGCCCTCCATTCTCCTGGTTCCTGTCTCTTGGCAACTGATAAATAATTTATAATGTTCTCCACTGTATGTGCTAACTGCAGCTCTGCTGGTTTAATGATGAAACCAATGCCTAAGAACTGCAACAGGAACTGTCTAGATCACAAGGAACATGTAATCAGTCGATCCCACACTCCTCTGGATGTGAAACCAAAAGCAAACTGTTGGAAAAAAATGTTTTCAAGAGCTGCGGCTGCAGGGTAGGAAGGGCACCCAGAAAACTGCAGATGATCTGCAAGGTGCTCCTGCCAGCAAGAGGAGTTTTCACGGGCTTCACCATTCTCCTCTTCTCTGCTCCCATGCGTGGCAGGACTTGCCAGAGGCTGCTTTTATTGGCAACTTCTCTCCTGCACTCATGCAAAAGTCTCTGGGTTTGTATCTCAAAGGTGCTGCTGCTGCTTTGGGGGCTGTGAAAGCTCTTGCAAGCTATTAAAAAGCAGCATTTGGTCTATGCAGACTAATGCAGCTCTTGCCCCCAAAAAAAGGGGAGACTCTTCATTTCATGGCAGATGTTCTTCAAGGCTTCCCAGCAGAGCTGTAACCGCTGTGAAAAGCAGCGTGTTTGAACCGTACACAGCACACGTACACGGGGTGTGCACTATTGTGGCAACACAGCCTCTCACATCCATAAACTCATTGCAATGAGATTATCCAGGCAGTTGGCAACTGCGGCCATACGGGCAGAGGAATGAAAGTTTTATTGTTAGCAGATTTTTTTTTTCTTAAAAAAAAGAAAAAAAGAAGAAACAAAACACCCCCCAAAAAATGAGCGGAGAGCAGGGAAGGGATGAAGTACTGCTGTTGACAAAGGCCAAAATCCCATCTATTTATATTAGAGTCACACAAAAACCACACCAGGGCAGTGCTCAAAAGCTTTAAAAAATGCACCTACTTTCTTAATGCTCTTAGAAAATAATAATAAAAAAACCTTATCAATATTCACTTTCTGAAATGGTGTAAAAAAAGAGCTGCATCAATCATTAAACAGTTAAATGAGGGCAGTATGACAGTCACTATTGTTCTCGTGAAGCACACTTGTCTTTTGCCGAGCAGCTGCCAGATCCTATTAGATGTATAAAAAGAGGACTTTTCTAACCGAGTAGGGATGGTATAAGCTATTGAAAACAGCAGACAAAAGCCCACTTTTGCAGACTATTCAAGCCTTGTATAACATCTGTCCAAAATCAATTTTTGACCTAATGTTACTTTCATTAAGTAACAGACTTTGTTTCCAATGCAATTTGTTTTCTAGGATAAAACTGTATCCTAAGCGTTATTACGTGGGAAACGGCACAGAGGAAGCAGAGGATCTTATTTGAGAAACACGAGAACAGAATTTGCTTAATTGTTTTGACACCTTAAGTACTATAATAGAGAAACTATTTTCCATTTATTTGAATTCCTGTGAATTCTTGAAGTTGGCAAAGCAGCGAGCAATGCACTGGGTTTATTATGACTAAGATTTACTGAGGATAAAGAAGGATCTTTGGGAATTACATTAAAGCTGACAAATGCACAAAACTTCTGAAATCTCAACCAGAAATAAAGTACTCTGAACATTAGCAACAGCTGTTGAAACTGTCCACTCTCGACGACGAAGGCTTTTTTCACACATTTTAAATAATGAGGAAGTTGATTTGTGAATCTTATTTCAAACAGACCGTTAGGAAACAATTCCACTTACCCAAAGGGTCTCTGAATGAAGGCTGGATGTAGCTGCTGCACACCTATGGTAAAACCTAAAAAAAAGGTTCAGAAAAAGAAGAAATATTAATGAATGGCATCCATTGTACCATTCAACTCGTAACACACAGGCAGAATTACACCACACGTCTTTGCATTTGATCTGCTATGCATGTGAGCAAATTCAGAGCCCCATTTAGAAACAAGTTAAATTTAACATGCATATGTGATATGCACGAGGAGCAGATGGGAATTCATGATGAAAGCCCAGTGTGAACGTGCTGCTATCGAACAGACAATGGGGCATAAAGCCTTATTTTACACACTGGGTACTGTGGTCATTAAACCAAAGGGAGAAATGAGGAGTGGATCTTACTGTTAATTCTCACGGAACAAAGAGGTTAACGGGCAAACATTTCAGCCAGGAAGAAAACAGCTTGAACACAGTTATATGAACTTTGGTGAGTAACACTAGTGCAGCAGGGCTGAGTAAGAAAATACAGCACAGAGGTAACTGGACTACGCAGCGTGCTCAGCCAACAATCAGAACTATGGGGGACAGATAAATGTGCATCGTCAGATCAGATGATTCCAGCCCGAGGAACTTGCTTCCTCGTCCTACAAGTTATTCTAATACAGAAAGATGGGATCTCCTGGATGCCTCACCAGTTTGAATACTCCTTGGTTTTGCTCCCAAATACGCCAGGTTCACATTTGCTTTCCTGCCGTCAATGATGGGGTTTGGGTCTTTGCAAGCTCGTTCAGCAGCTGCTCTGTCTGCCATGGTCACCTGGAATCGAGCACAGCCTTGTTTGTAGCAACAGCGCTTTGTAAACACTCCAGCAACAGGCACTAAGTGGAGTTTATTTATTGTTCTATTTTGAATCGGGAGCTGCACTCCCTCCGTGCAGCCTCGCTTGCACGGCGAGACGGGAAGGGCTGCTGGGACTCGATGGAAAAGCGGGCGCTCCCCCCGCACCCGGTTTCCCCGCTGGGCCGGTGCCAGCTGTTTTCCCCTGCCCTTCCACCTCCTCCCAGAGCCTTTTTTAAGAAGCTGGCGGAGCCCTTTTCAAAACCCCCGGCGCAGAGGAGCTCAGGGCAGCTGCGGGCACCGCGCTGAGCCCCGCACGGACATCGGGAGGGGGGAGCAGGTGCTGAAACGAACGGCACGGCTCGGCCAACAACGGGGGGCTCCTCCCGGGCCCCCAGCCCAGCCTCTGTCCTGACTGAGCCCCTCGTTCCCGCAGCGGGCACAAACTCCGCGGCAGCGACGGGACGGGCGGCGGCTCCGCAGCGCCCGGCACCGGGGGGTCCGTGCGGCCACACCGGGAGTTTGTGCGGCCACACCGGGAGTTTGTGCGGCCACACCGGGAGTTTTGTCACGGCTCCGGCGGGCTCCCAGCCCGCGGCTCCGCTGCCGGCCCTTCCCCGGCGCACGGGGGGCAGCGGGGGCAGCGCCGGCGCCCGTCCCGCCCCGGAGCGATGCGGGACTTACAAAGCCGTATCCCCGGGATTTGCCGGTCTGCCGGTCCGTGATCACCACCGCCTCCTCGATGTCCCCGAAGACCTCGAAGTACTTCCTGAGGGAGGAGTCGGTGGTGTGGTAGGGCAGCCCCCCGACGAAGATCTTGGTGAAGGTGGTGTCCTTCTGCACGGTGTGCATGGTGCCGGCAGCGGCCGGCCCCGGCCGGCATCCACCCGGAGCAGAGCCGAGCCCCCGCCGAGCCCCCCGCGGCGGCCGAAGGCAGCGGAGCGGCGGCGGGTCCCGGGGCCCTACAGCCGCCTCATGGCCGCGCCTGGAGCCGGAGCGCGGCCCCGCGCCCGCCCGCCGGTGCCGGTGAGTAGCGGCCGCCCCGCCGCCGCCGCCGCCTTTGTAGGGCCGCGCCGAGCCCCGCCCCGCCCGCGCCGCGCAGGGGCGCTCGGGCCGCGTAGTCCGGCCCCGCCCGGGGGTCCCCGCACCGAGCCCCGGCCCCGCACCGAGCTCCCCCAGCGCCCCGCACGCTGCGGTCCCTGCCCGCAGCCCCTCGGGCCGGGCTCTGCACGCTCTACAAGTGCCGGCGGCTCCCGGGGAGCAGGGCCGGGCCGGGAGGGCAGCGCTGCGGCGGGAGCCCGCCAAAGATCCCGCCTGGCTGTCCCCGGTGTCCCGCACCCCCAGCCCGCTGGTGTTGCACAACCAGCGCAACGGACAGGGCTTGGGCCCCGGCAGGCTCGGGCACGGGGACAAAGGCATCCGGCAACCTTTGTGGCTTTGTGGGGCGGTCGGAGCCAGGGCAGGAGGAAGGGATGGTGTTGAACCGAATCTCCAAGGAGGAGGCCAGGGAGGGGGTCAAGGAGTGAACAAAGGTTCAGAACTGTCTTTCTCAAGCAGGTTCTTAAGCCTCCTGCTTCTCCACTGGGCACCTGTACCTGTGCAGCCTCTCCCTGGGGACAGGGATGCACCAATCCCAGTTCCACTGGTAGTCAGCAGTGGGGCTCTCCACTGTCCTTCCTTTGCATTTTGTTCCATGGAAGGACGGGCACTCCTGCTGTGAAGTACGAGGCTGTGAAGTGCCACTGCCTTTGGCGGGAGCTGCAGGTTTCTGCCCTGACCTGCGATTCCACCCTGGGAGAATTGTTACTCTAGCACAGCCCCGTAGTTGCTGCATGTACCCCTTGGTCCATAACTGCAGGAAAAGCTGAAAAGCTACTTCATACTTCAGAACCCACCACTGGGGAGCTCCAATGGTGGGTTGCTTGCAGTGCTTTAATTCCTCTTCTCCAGCAACAGTTGGAGTTTGGGGCATGGGAGAGGATCCCAAAAATCATTATTCATTCATAGTTTCCATCACCCAGAATCTCAAGAACTGCCCCTGTGCCTTATGCTTATCATTTCTCAGAGAAAGAGATTTTTTGCAACATGATAAATGCAGAGATAACATTTTAGAGAAAAAAAAAAATAAAGCCAGTGAAGTTCCAAATCATCATCTACTTTGGCTTCTATACAGCAGGTTCAGACTCTGCAGACACTTTTTTGTTACAGACCCCACAGAGAAAAGCCAGTTATTTCAAGAGAAAGGAATGCATTAATGTCTGCACTCCATAGTTATTCATTAATATTTTTCTTGCACTGCTTCCATAGTTCTAAACACCCTATGCTTCATAAAAGAGAGAGGAAAAAAAAAAAAGCCAAGGAAAGCCATTAAGCTTTTCAGTCCTGAAGCACCAGACTTCAAGACTAGGGTACACTTCCTTTTATTACTGTGGAAGAAAGATGGAGCTGGGCCAGGAGCACCCAACATCACTGAAAAATTGTCAGCCTTCTGCAAATGGATGGTCCATGGAGCCTTTGTGAAGCCAGCAGCTGTCCCTGGACCATGCAAAGAGCAAGCCTGGCATACACCTTTGGGGCTGGACTGCAGCAGGGCTGGGGCCTCTCCACCCCTGAGTCACCCCTTCTGTCTGCATGACTTCCACCACAAACTGCACATCAGCTGCTTCCTGGGCTGCCCGAGCTAATGACAACCCAGTTGGCATTCAGTCACTGTCCTTTTACAGAGCTTCATTCTGCTCCAAATGATGGCAAAGATTCAAATCATCCAACCAGACTCGGGCTCCTCTGCAGGGCAGGCAGGGCTGGCAAAGTTCTCCAAAGAGAGACCAGCAGCATCTCTGTTCCCAGTGCTGATGCTGCTCGGGGGGGGGGAAAAACAGCACAGGCTTTTTTCTTCTTCAAACGTGAGCCCCGTATCTCTCAAGGGAGAAATCCCAGCTCCTTCCCTCGAGGCAGGAACGGGAGTTGTCTTACAGGAAGGAGTTAAGGCTAAACCTGGGCTCGGTGAGCACCACAAAGCCCCGGTACCGCTGGCGTGGCTGGGGGAGGCGGCCTCGGTTCTGCCACATCCTGGAAAGCAGGACGGGAAATGAAATCTCCTGTCTCATGGTGCAGCTATTGCAAACACAGGCTCTAATGAGCTGTTACCGCAAACACAGCAGGAAAGGGAAGAGAAAGTGAGTAAGGATAACTTTATGGAAATTAATTAATTAGCATTTATTTTTTCCACCTCGTTCTTGTGAAAAGCACTCATCCTCAAATCACCTACAGATAAAATTCAGCCATCAGATCAAAGCTGCAGGAGCTTGGCACAGTCAGTTTGTTGACACCTCCCTGTGCTTTTACTGCAACAATAGGAGTACCTGAGAAGAGAAGAATATATTTCAACTTTCTCTGGTCAAAGATAACTCCTGCAAAGACAGGCATATCTCAAAGTATGAAGCTGCCTCGGGGAAGGCAGGGCATTGCTTAGCACAAATCTAAGGGCAGACTGCAAGCAAAAAGGAGAACATAGACCTGATATAAACTATTGTAAGGGTGCATTGAATCCTTTGGGGTTATTAAGAAATAAAACTACACAGGTCAGTCAATGAGGAGGCTGGGAGAAAAGTCATCTTTTGCAGTAGGCGCACAACCATCCACATCTTTAATGTACAGGATTTGTATTGCAAATCCAGAGCATCCTATTCTCATTCAGATTGGGAAGATTAATTTTGTGAGAATTCAACACAGTTAAGAGGACTCGCTGTGTTTTTACTTACATGTTTATATATTCCTCGAGCCTTATGCAAAATTGATACACAAAGGCTCCTTCTGGTGGACTTCAGCAGTGTTATCCAAGAGGTGGAATGGAACAGCTGCAGATCACCAAACCAATGTGCTGGATTCCACTGAAAATCCTAGAGAAGGTGGCACTGCAAGACTATCCAGGTACAGAACCATATAGAAATGGTCCCTGCCTAAAGTACGAAAAACAAATTATAGCAGGAAGTTATACCTTTGGGAGCACAAGAACAGGACAGAGGTGGGGAAAAAGCAGCAGGAAAAATGTTCCCTGTTCTTGGCCTCTGCAAAGCCCCAAAGTCCCTTCTGTTCTTATCCCTCCCGTGGCAGTGAAGCTGTGTGGTGTTCTCCTTGTCTGAGCACTTTCCTTTCTTCCCCCAGTAACTTTGGGAAAATTTATTTGAGACACCTCAGGTCTGATCTGCAAGCCATTGAAGAACCTGCCTCATTTCTTAGCAAACTGATGGGCTTTATTTTTAAAATGGAGCAGGGCTGCTGTGGAGCTCTGACCTTTTTCAGTTCCTGCTGCTGCTTAGCCAAGACTTCATTGCTGTAGGGCAGTGCCCTTGGGTTTTGCCATGGATACCCGCTTATTGCAACAACAGCAGATGAAACATCCCCCTTAGAAGCTCCACAGTTAAATAAGTTAACTGGAGAGCAAGGGACTTACTGTGGGAACTGTTTGGTTTGTTGGTTTTACTAATGCTCAGTCTGGATGCTGGCCACCAGCGAGGCTGTGAACAGGGAGATCTTGAGGGGAGCTGCATGCAGTGGCATTTGGTTTAGGTTATCGCAGGAAATTTTGCATCTGGGCCCTCTGGCTCGGATTTTCTGGTTTGGTGCCCTGAGCACACCATAACCATTGCTTAACCCAAAGCTGCTGCTGCAACAAGAATTGAAAAATTAAAATCATTTTTCTTTGGGCCACTTATAACAAAAGAGTTGAGCAGAGGAGGTTCCCAATCAGGGCTGCTTTTTGGCTTTGGTTTCTGCAGGAATCTTCCAATAGGACTATTTCTTCTTCTGAGTATTCCAGAACTGGGGATGATGAGTGAACTCTGTTTCCTTTTGCTGGCTACACTGGTTGCACACAAGCAGACCATCAGCTCTAGTGGGCATCTAGAGCTCAGTGTTCCAGTAACCTGCATTGGATATGCACATTGGTAACACTGGGACTGAGAGAACAACAAATGGGACACCTCACTCAATCCTGCAGGATCACCAGCATATGTTGGAGTGTGGCTAAAGGAAATGTCATTAAAAATCTAATTTTATTTCCCCAAACTTTCCTGCCCTCACATTTTGGCCCTTCACAAAACGAAAATTGCATATCTGTGCCATGACAAAGGACAAACAGAATCATGGTAATTGCAAACAAGATTCCTGAAAAAGAAGAGGCTTGGAGGAGACATTGCAGAGCTCATAACTGCTTGGAGGATCTTGCCACAGGAAGTGCACTGCAAGCCTTGGATATAAGTCTAGATGAAAATAAAGGCATAAAACATGGCCAAGGAAACTAAGAGGCTGTGCCATCACATTGCTCATACCTCTGCAGCTGCCAGCAAGGAGAATGTCTAATAATCAGGAATCTTGTGCTTTGCTCTTTGTGCCACCATCACAGTTTCCCAGGAGTTTCTCAGAGCAGAGCTTGGCACTTTTCCTTCCACATGCCCTTGTGCCAGTCGTGTCAGGGGAAAGGTGAAGCACCTGTTTGGGACCAGGAAGGACCAGGTCAGCAAGGAAAGGTGATTCAGTGGGTCCTGTGGTGGTGCCTCTTCAGTGGTGAAGATGTGCTGCAGCCACCCTGAGTGCTCACACTTGCATTTCTTGGTGATTTTTTTGCTCTGCCGGAGGAATTTCTCCTCCACCATCCGCAGTTCACTATTTGTCCAGGTACAGCTCCTGTGTGCACAGACTCTCCCCAGCCCTGGCAAAGCACTCTGGGGAGCTGGAATGACACTGGGCTGGGGATTGTCACAGTGTGACAGCAGGGAGCTGGGCTGGCTTTCTGAGCAATCAAAATACTGCCCTTGATTAGGATGGTGGCTTGTTTTCTGCCATTGCTGGCATCTCTGCCAAATAGTTTTGTCATCATCAGTATTGTAATGTCTTGGCCTAGAGCAATGGTAACCCTTGCCTTTCCTGTGACCTTGGGGATGATTTCTCTTTGACCTCTTAGTGAATGACTAATGAAAAGTGCAGATCTTCATATTGCAACTAAATTAT